ATAATGATTACATATATATCACAAAATTAATAAATCAAGCAGATTTTTCTACATAATTCATGTCAAATTTAACAGTCTCTTCACTGATTCTTTGTACTGAGAAAGGGTATTTTCATTGTCCCCCTCGTTCTTAAGAGTGACAACAGACTTTCCGTAATCTTCAACTTCTTTAGTACCAAGGAGCTCTTCTTTATTTAATTCCAGATTTTTCTCAGCAGCTTTAATTTGGAGAAGTATTTCCAGGACATTTTTTTCTGAGGAGCTATTTTTCCATACATACTCTTCCATGTCTGCTTCAGTCTTATTTTTCTCCCATTCTTCGGTTTTCCAAGACTCATGGTATAAAACTGTTAGCAGATACACTGCATAATCATAATTCTGTCTCTTTAAAGGGCACCTATCTGTTCTGATGGTAAGCACATCTGTGGTCTTGCAGTATCGCTCCCCTACAAGTTTAATAAGTTTCTTCTTTGCATGATCATCTAAATTCAAACTGGAAAGTTTAACCCTTAAGGTTACTACTCGTGCTTTGGGGTTTCGAACAGATGGTCCTGATGAAACATAATCAGCTGTTTCAATTTCAACTGGAAAATGCTTCTCGCATTTCTCATCACTGTCCAGTGCAGCTGGCCACTCAGTGCAGAAATCTTTAAGAGCTTCACAGTGCTTTTTAATTGCTACAGGAGTCAAATGCAGAAAATTGGGGATCTTTAAAAGTTCTAGATTTCCCTCCTTTGCCATGGGCACCCCCTGTTTTACTGAATAACCCATTCGAATAGGAAGAGGTACTGCAGAGGGCTTAAATGGTACTGCAACAGGGTAAACACTAGGCCAGTCCTGGTCAACAGCCATTTTCTCTGTCCTAGGAGGTAGTGCCTTTCTTCTCAGTGGCCTTTCATGTTTGGATGTTCTTTCTGTTGTACACGGGCTTGGTGCGGGAGCGCCAGTGACCAGAGACACGGCGGTGGAGAAGGCCCGCAGGGTCCTGGCCCCCGGCTGCAGAACCAGCCACGCGGGGAGCGTGGAGGCCGCCATGCGTGCGAAGACGGCAAGCCCCTCTTGATATCCTCAGTTGCAGCAGTCGACTCTCCCTAATGGACTTGCTCTGGACTCTCTCCCTGGCTTGTTCAGTCCAGACTGCTTTGGGTAGACAGCTGGCTCATTTTGGTCTCAGTGAATTCACATCGTCACTCTTAGTGTGTGTAACTGGTTGAAGTTGAGGTAATGTATATGACTTGATGGTGGCAAGTGAATCTTACTGCTAAGTGGTATAAGGAAGTAAGTTTAAGAAAAATCTGACGCCTGGAGATCAGTATTGCTTTCTCACAAAAGAAGGCCTTCTTTTCATCACTAGGATCAGAACTAAAGCTGAGTGTATTTGTGTCTCAAAAAAAAAATTCTTTAATTTACTTCCTCATCAGGAAATTCTATAGTTACCACACCTGTACATCATTGTCAATGGAGAAAGTAATTTTGGAATTTGTTCAGATCCAAGTGGCAATGAGAAAGATTATAAATAAAAAATGTTTTGTTTTGATGTTCGCTGTACCCAGCCCTGGATACCTGTTTCAAATAAGAAATTGTGTATTACATACAGATCATGCAAGAAGGTAGATAAATAATATATAGTTTTTAGTCTTACTCTGTTTCATTGAAATCTTTTTTTAGTTTACAAAACAAAAAACAAACAAAAACATCCCAGTATCATCTCTTATGTACCTAATTAAAATTACTCAAGTCATCTGACAGCAGTGATTTCTCTGATCCAAGAAGGGGCATAATTATCAAGATAGTCTCAACTTTCTTAATTTTTTAAATTCAGAATACTAATTTAATTTTGAGATTCTCAAATCTATTTCATATACAATGGGGAGATACATGCCTATGGGGTGTTAATATTCTCCTTTTCTTTTGAGGCTATTATAGGAAGAAATTATATTATCTTACATAGAAAAACAAGCTTGTAGAAAATATAAATAGGCATTGGGATAGAGGAGGTTATTAATGAAAGTGATTTTTTGAGAATTATTTATTCAAAAAATAATGTTTGCTTACTTTAAATGACTTAGATAAAGACTTCTGAATACCAGTTATGAAACAAGTACAGACCAGTCTCTTTAAATTATACATTCTGTGGTTTTGCATGTTCTCAAAAGAACTAGGTATTTGAAAATACTTTTTTATTGAGATATAACTGACCTATAACCTTGTGTAAGTTTAAGGTGTACAACCTGTTGATTTGATATACTTATATATTGCAATATTATTACCACTGCAGAGTTAGCTAACATGTCCATGAATTCAGATGATTATCATTTCTTTTTTGTAGTGAGAATATTTAAGATCTAGTAACTTTCAGGTATATAATACAGTATTGTCGACTATAATCATAATGCTGTACATTAAATCCCCAGAACATTTTTATCTTCTAATTGCAAGCTTGTACCCTTTGACCGACATCTCCCCAATTCCCCCACCCTCCACTCGCTGGTAACTACCATTCTATTCTCTTTCTATAAGTATAACTTTTTTAGATCCCATATCTAAGTGATATCATATGGTATTTGTCTTTTTCTGTCTGATTTATCTCACTTGGTATAATGCCCTCAAAGTCCATCCATGCTGTTACAAATGGCAGGATTTTCTTTTTTCTCATGGCTGAATAATATTTAACTCTCTATATATACCACATCTTCTTTACCCATTCATCCACTGACAGACACTTAGGTTGTTTCTGTATGTCGTCTATTGTAAATAATGCTACGTTAAACATGGGAGTGCAGATATCTTTTCAATACCCTGTTTTTGTTTCCTTTGGTTATATACCCAGAAGTAGGATTATTGGATTACACGATAGTTCTTTCTTTTACTTTTATGAGGAACCTCCATACTGTTTTCCATTGTGGCTGAACCAATTTACATTCCCACCAACAGTGTACAAGGGTTCCCTTTTCTCTACATCCTTGCCAAAACTTGTCTCTTGTCATTTTGATGAAAGCCATTTTAACAGGTGTGAGGTGATATTGTACTGTGGTTTCAATTTGCATTTCTCTGATGATTAGTGATATTGAACATCTTTTCATGTGCCAGTACCATTTGTATGTCGTCTTGGGGAAATAGACTGTGTGTCTATTCAGTTCCTCCACCCATTTTCAAATGGATTGTTTATTTTTTTGTTATTGAGTTGCATGAGTTCTTTATAGATTTTAGATATTAACCTCATATCATATATACGGATTGTAAATACTTTTTCCTATTTTGTAGGGTTGCCTTTTCATTTTTTTGACTGTTTCTTTTGATGTGCAGAAGCTCTTTAGTTTGATGTAGTCTCATTTGTTGATTTTTGCTTTTGATGCTTGTGCTTTAGGTGTCATATCCAAAAAAATTGTTGCCAAGACCAATGTCAAGGAGCTTTTCGTCTATGTTTTCTTCTAGGAATTTTATAGTTTCAGGTCTTGTGTTTGAGTCTTTAGTCTATTTTGAGTTAATTTTTGTGAGTGGTATAAGATAGGGGTCCAATTTTATTTTTCTCCTTGTGGTTATCCAGTTTTTCCAACATCATTTACCAAAAAGACTATTCTTTCCCCATTGAGCATTTTTGGCTCCCTTGTCACACATTAGTTGACTGGAAAGACAAGGGTTTATTTCTGGGATCTCTATTCTATTCCATTGGTCTATATGTCTATTTTTATGTCAGTACTATACTGTTTTGATTACTATAGCTTTGTAGCATGGTTTGAAATGGGAGGTGTGTTGCCTCCAGCTTAGTTCTTCTTTCTCAGGGTTGCTTTGGCTCTAGGGAGTCTTTTGTGGTTCCATATATATTTTAGGATTGTTTTCTCTATTTCCTTGAAAAATGTCATTGAAATTTTGATAAGGATTGCATTGAATATATATACAGCTATGAGAAGTATGAACATTTTATTAATATTAAACATAAACATGTTTAATATTACCATAAACATGGGATATCTTTCCATTTGTTTGTGTCTTTTTCAATTTCTTTCATGAAAATCTTGAAGTTTTCATTGTATATGTCTTTCATTTTCTTGGTTAAATTTATTCCTAAATATTTTATTGTTTTTAATGCTCTTGTTTTTCTTTACAGATATTTCATTGTTAGTGTATAGAAAAGCAGCTGATTTCTGTACATTGATTTTTTTAGCCAGCAACTTTACTGAATTCTTTGATTAGTTACAACAATTTTTTGGTTAAGTCTTTAAGATTTTCTATATATAAGATCATATGTAAATAAAGACAATTTTACTTCTTCCTTTCTGATTTGGATGCCTTTATTCATTGTTGCTCTAGCTAGAACTTTCAGTATTAAGTTGAATAAGAGTGAGGAGAGTCAGCACCCTTGTCTTGTTCCTGCTCTTAGAGGAAAAGCTTTTACCCTTTCACCACTGAGTATGATCTTAGCTGTGGGTTTGTTGCATATGGCCTTGATTTTGTTGAAGTATGGTCCTTCTATACTCACTTTCTTGAGGGTTTTTCATCATGAAAGGATGCTGTATTTTGTCAAATGCTTTTTCTGCATTCATTGTGATGATCATATAATTTTACCTTCTCTTCTATTAGTGTTGTGTATGATATTTAGTAATTTGCATATGTTGAACCATCTTTGTATCCCAGGGATAATCCCACTTGATCTTAACGTATGATCCTTTTAACATGCTGTTGAATTTAGTCTGTTAACATTTTATTGAGAATTTTTGTATTTATATTTATCAGTGATATTGGTCTGTAGTTTTCTTTTCTCGGAGCATCCTTATCTGGCTTTGGTATAAGGGTAATGCTGGCCTTCCAAAATGAGTTTGGCAATATTCCCTCTTCTTCAGTTTTTTGGAAGAGTTTGAGAAATATTGGCATTAATTCTTTTTTTAATATTTTGTAGAATTTACCAGTAAAAACATCTGGTCATGTGCTTTTTTTTGTTGTTGGGATGTTTTTGATTAATGATTCAAACTCCTTACTCATTATTGGTCTGTTCATATTTTCTGTTTCTTCATGATTCTGTCTTGGTAACTTGTATGTTTCTAGGAATTTATCCATTTCTTATAGGATATCCAAATTGTTGGCATATAATTATTCCTAATAGTTTCTTATGATCCTATGTATTTCTGTGGTATGTATCATCTTTCATTACTGATTTCATTTGATACTTCTTTTTTCTCTAGTTAGTCTAGCTACAGGTTTGTCAATTTTGCTCTTGATTTCAAAAAGACATCTTTTACTTTTGTTGATCTTTTCTGTTTTTTTTGGTCTCTTTTTTGTTTATTTCCATTGTGATGTTTGTTATTTCCTTCCTTTTGCTTACTTTGGGCTTAGTTTGTTCTTCTTTTTCTAGTTCCTTGAGGTGTAAAGTTAGGTTGTTTATTTGAGTTCTTTTTCCTTAGTATATGTGTTTATTGTTATAAACATCCATTTGAAAACTGCTTGCAGCGTCACATAAATTTTAGTGTGTTGTGTTTCCATTGTCACTTGTTTCAAGATACTTTTTTTTTTTTTCTAATTTCTTCTTTGGCCTATTGATTGTTCAGGAGTGTGTTGCCTAGTATTCACATGTTCATAAATTTTTCAGCTTTCCTCTTGTTGATTCTAGTTTCACATCATTGTGATTGGAAGAGATGTTTGGTATGATTTCAATCACAAATTTGCTAAGACTTTTTGTGTCCTATTGTATGATCTATCCTGCAGAATGTTTTGTGTGCATGTGAGAAGAATTTGTATTCTGCTGCTGTGGATGGAATGTACAATATATGTCTGTTGGGGGGCCGGCCCCATGGCTTAGCAGTTAAGTGCGTGCGCTCCACTACTGGCGGCCCAGGATCAGATTCGGGCGTGCACCAATGCATCACTTCTCTAACCATGCTGAGGTAGCGTCCCACATACAGCAACTAGAAGGATGTGCAACTATGATATACAACTATCTACTGGGGCTTTGGGGAGAAAAAGGGGAAAAAAAGGAGGAGGATTGGCTATAGATGTTAGTTCAGGGCCCGTCTTCCTCAGCAAAAAGAGGAGGATTGGCATGGATCTTAGCTCA